CCCTGGTGCTGCTTCTGTCGTGGGGACCTGTGGGGGACAGGGGGGAGTCCACTATACACAGGTGCTGCTCTGTCCCTGGGGCTTCTTCTGCCCCAGCAAGCCGAGCAGCAGTGCTCCTGTGCCAGCTAGAACGGACCATCCGCAAGCACTCGAGAGGCTTCTGTGGTCATCAGCATTTTATCCATCTGCACTATTCCGGATTACAGCAGGTCTTGGGAAAGCTTCCTCTTTTAAAGCGTGTTACTAATAGGAGCCAGAGACTGGTGGAGGCCAACACTGGGCAAGTGTTACTAGACTGCCATCTTGTGGCCATACATCATACGAAGAGACTAATAAATCTCTGAGGTGCCAAAAAAAGAAAAGCCACGGTTTCTACCTCCACTGCTTCTATAGAACTTCCAACCTGGAACAGAAGAAGTGGTGGTGCTGGCCAAGAGGCATCGTCCTGCACTCCCAACTCCAGTACAACTGCAGCAGCAAGGGTGACAATGCGAAACACATGCTGGGAGCTGAGCTTGGACGTGTTTAGCTCCCCGCAAATTAAATGCCATTTCTTACATAAAATCCAGCGTGTTGGCTTCTTCCAAGTATGAGATCACTGTGCTGAAAGTGTGCAGTCACCTGTGTGCCCCATTCCCTCGGGCACAGCACGCATTGCTGGTGGGGCACTTCCTGCTCAGGCCAGATTCATACCCGCTCCAGGTAGTCCCGCCAAGGCAGGGAAAGCCACCTGTCATCCTGGGCGCAGTTCAACTCATTCCATGGACATACAACTGCTCACCGTGATGGTCGGTTTTGTGGGTCATTGTGGCCACTGTCCCCAGGTATTCAGTCAGACACCAGTCTCGATGTTGCAGTGAAGGTATTTTGTACATGTGATGAAAGCCCAGGATCAGACTTTAAGCAAGGGGAGATTATCCTCAATCATCTAGTTGGGCCTGATTCAATCAGCTGAAAGGCTTTAGGAACAGAACCGAGGTTGCCCTGAGAAAGAAGAAATTCTACCTGTGGACTCCAGCTTCAGCCCCTGCCTAAGAGCTTTCAGCCTGCTTGCTGCATTCCTATAGAATTCAGACTTGCCTATCCAGCCCCCACAATCATGTAAACCAACTCCTTGTGACAAATTTCTTTATATGTATATCATCCTATTGGTTTGGATGTTCTGGTTGAAACTTGGAGGACAATTACCAAATTCCTGAGGAAGTGTATACCCTTCAAAAAGGCACACATGGATCCAGGCGACTTCCTTGAGTCCATGTCCACAAGCCCCTGCAGATGGAAGCACAGCGCAGTCCAGAGAACACTGTGTGGGACACAGGGATGTTGCTCACACCTCTCGCTTCTCTCCAGCCTAGCAGCCTGCCTACACACTCCAGGCTGGAGCCCACCATCCCACCCTGTGTTTGGGCCCTCCCTGAGGATAAGAAAGGCACAAAGGCCTTTTCCTCTCCTCACATCTAAAGCATGGATGTTCTGTGTCACACACGTCATGCTCGGCACCTGCCAGCTCCTTGTTATGTCCATGTGCTCTCTCTAAAACCACCAAATCTGACACAAGAACCACAAACATGGCAGCTACTCAGTAAACATTAGCCACGAGCTCCATGACAGCAAGCGTTGCGGTCTCTGTTTTGTGTTTGAAGGATGGCACGTGGTGAGTTCTCAGGAAGTCCCGACTGAGCAAACAGCTGGCAGCACACTGCACCGACCCACGAGTGTGGGTTCTCACCTCCTGCTGCTGAGACCCCTGACGGGAAAAAGCAGTGTGGGGAAGTTTCATGCAATGATTCGGGACATCAGAGTGGCTGTCCCAGGCTGCGCCTGGCAGATGGTCCTTTCCTGAAGGATCAGGGTCTTCGTAACACTGCTGATATCATTCAAAGTGGGTTGGCACAGCCCACCATGCTCAGCCCTTTTATGTGTCAGCTTCCAAGTGCTGCCTTAAGTTAGGGACCCGAGAAAAATCTGGAAATGCCAAAAATGTTTTTAAATTAAGTTTTTAAATAAATACTTCCAACATTCTGATACTAATGGGATCAGATCTATTACCAAGTATATTTCTTTTGGAAGCTTGAAGCCATCTAGAATAACAATCAAAATATTCATGCATTAGGGAAATACATACTGAAACTGAAATCAATTACTTAAAGGAAAAAAGAAGAGAAGAAAGCAGATAATAACAAGCATATCTCTACTATAACAGACATCCGGTAATCATGGCTAATAAGGAAAAATATTTCTTGTTAGAAAAAAATCACTGACAATATAGAAATACTGTCACCTACAATACAGACACAGAAAACGTTAGAGCATTTTATGACTTCAAGACTTCTTAAGCAGGGCTCAAAAACAAACTTAAGGGAAAACACACTGGATTTGATCACTGCAAAATTAAACATTTATGCAACGGAAGCTGACAGAGCAGAAGCAGTTGCAGCCTCTCAAGTCAACAAAGGAGCCCTGGTGGTACAATGGTTAAGCGCTCAGCTGCTAACTGAAAGAAAGGCTGGCAGTTTGAACCCACCAGCAGCTCCGTGGAAGAAAAGACCCGGCGATTTGCTCTGTAAAGATGACAGCCTAGGAAACCCTGAGTCAGTTCTAGTCTGTCATATAGGGTCCCTATGGGTGGAGATGGACTTCACAGCACACAACAACAACAAAGGCAACAAGGGGTGACGATCTAGAGCGTATCAGAAACTCTGGCCAATCGGTGGGGAAGGGGGCCAATTAAAAAAAAACAAAACCAGAATCTGCATCACAGAACAAAACCTGGGGGGCCCACAAGCAAATAAGAAGCATCAGATGCTCAACATCATAAGCAAGCAGAGATGTGAAAACTAAAGGGACAGTTCTACTCTGTCCTATAGGGTTGCTATGGGTCAGACTGCCTCAACAGCATCGAGTGCTAGAGAGGCAGCTGGGACCTGAAACCCTCCGGAATACGGCGGACACGTAGAGTATCCACATATCCCGCCACCCACAGCCCTGGCCCTGGGATCACACCCAGCTAAACTCCCACACACTCCACGCAGAGACATGCGAGAGGATGTCTACTCCACCCCGCCAGAGAAAGCAGGGGGCTGGCTTCCCAGCACAATACCTTCAAGACATTAGGAAACACACAAAACCACAGCTGCACAGTTTTCAAAGACACAGATACTCAAATACACACCTGGACGGTGGGTTGGAAAGACCTCATTAAATACCAAGGGAGATGGAGAGACGCTCAGCAACGGTGAAGGGGAAACAGAGATCCATCAGAGCAGGCAGAGAGAGGATGCCAGCTGGCTCTCCATGAGGCAGACAAGGCCCTAAAATGCTGGTTTCCAAATCAAACCGATGAAAGAGATGAGAGAACAAGACACAGTGAAAACACTTAACTTGGAGCTTTCTTTCATTCTGAAAGATTTGCCAAAGCCACTTCCGACCTATTTTGAAACCTACGTATCTATCAAGTGTACAATAAACCTCAGTGATGTGACATTCACAGATGCCAAGTTCTAAGGAAAACGGTTTGGAATTATTTTTATTTACAAACCAGCAGCTGCTTTAGGTGACGTATTATATGAAATACTTACCACTGGTGTGCCAAGTTTGACGGTCATTGTGGAAGTCAGTGATCAGGCTGTTTTGCTGGCTACTCACCTGCATGCCAGGTTGAGCAGCCCTTCTCTGCCGGGGAAGAGGCTCTCGTGCTTCTGAGCATCAAGGCATCTTCTAAAAACTCAATCTTCTTGCTGAACTGCACTTCTAAAATCGGGATAACCTCTGGCATTTTTGCAGATATCAAATGGTAAGTTATGTCTGGCTTCCCAATAAACCGTTGGCGTATGCTCACTTCATAAGGAGTGCGAACCTTAATGTCATCTACATCCTCTCTTTCAAATCTGTGCATGAGCAAGGAATCTGAGTCACGGACTTCCAAGCCAGAAACAAGGACGATAAGCTTTCCTGGTTTAGCATGAGACTCTGTTCTTTGGGAAATAACGGCAGGAATTTTGATGACTATCCCTTCTTTCCCCAAAGCCTCAGAACCAGACGCTGAGGCGCCTTCCGCAGGCTTTGTTTCTGACGGTGTCTTCCAAAGCTTGGAACTAAAAGGCCACCAAGAAGGGGATTCCAGTTGTGTAAGCAACCTAGAAGAGCCAGTAACACAGAAAACTGCGGTCAGTATATATTTCAATAGTTCATACTGTGTTTGAAAACTGCCTTAACCTTTATAAAGTACTACACCATGTTATAATATTTCTTTTCCACAAGCACTCCATGAAGCAGAGACAGCAGGGATTATTATTCTCATGTTTTACAAGAGAAAACAGAGGCTCAGAGCAGTAAGGAGATTTGTCTAGATGTACTCAGCTAATCAGCAGTAAAGACACAACAAAAATGCCTATCTTGTGACAAAAATGTTGTTGTTTCTATACTATGCCGCCTTGACCTGTATAATTTTGATTTAAAATAAATCCAGATTTTAATGCCCAGAACAACTATCTAATAGAACTTTTGGAAGCAATGGAAATGTTCTATATTTGCCTTGTCCAATATAGTATCAGGCTTATACGGCTACTGAGTACTTGAAATGTAGCTAATGCAATTGAGTAAATGAATTTTTTACTTAATTTACATGTGGCTAGTGGCTACTGTATTGGACAGCACAACGCTAGAGTAACCACTAATAAAACAAAGAGATATAGACAAAAAGTCAATAGAATAAAACGGAATAATAAAACAACACTTCATTGATCCAGAAGAAGGCAGGAAAGGAAAAGCAAAGGAACAACGATGCGATGGACCTAACAGAAAACAACAGCAAGATGGTGGAATTAAACTCAACCACAGCGGTAATCATATTAAATGTAAATGAATGAAATACTCTGATTAAAAGCAAGATTATAACACTAGATTTAAAAAAAAAAAAAAAAAAGACCCAGTTATCTCCTGTTTACAAGAGACAAACTATAAACATAAAGACACAGATAGGTTGAAAGCAAAGGGACAGAAAAAAGATACATCGTGCCAAAAGTGAATCTGAAGATAAGGAGAACGAGCAGGGAAAAAGAGAGACATTATGTAATAATACGAGGGTCAACCCAACAGAAAGGTTTAACAATATTAAATGTGTATACACCTAACAACAGAACTTCAAAATTCATAAGGCAAAAATAGGCAAAACTAAGAAGAAAAACAGACAATCACCATTGTAGATTTTAAGACACCCCTCTCAATGACTCATAGAGTAAAAAGACAAAAAAAAATCATTAAGAATATAGAAATTTTGAACACTATTTTTTCAACTCGAATGATATTTCTTGAAACATCACCCAAAAGCTGCTGAATATACTTTTTTCAAGTATATTCAGAACATTTATGAAAACAGAGTATAACAAGTCTAAATCAATTTCAAAGGAATGAAATCATACAGAGTATGTCCTTTGTCTTCAAAGAAATGAAATCAGAAATCAACAAAAAGATAGCTAGAAAATCCTCATACATTTGGAAATTAAACATGCTTTTAAAAGTACAATGAACAAAAAAGCATGAAGGAAATTAAAAGACATTTGAATTGAATGAAAATGAAAACACAATATGTCAAAAATAGTGGAATACAAACAAAGCAATCATTAAAGGGAAATTTACAACTCTTAATGAATATATGTGAAAACCAGACAGTTTTCAAATCAGTGATCTAAGCTTCTATCTCAGTAAGTTATAAGAAGAGCAAAATCAACCTAAGAAAGTAGAAGAAAGGAAAAAAAGAAATCAATAAAATTGGAAACATAAAAAACTACAAAATACTAGCAAAAGTTGGTTCTCTAACACAATTAAAAAATTAGCAAGAAATGATCAAAAAAAGAGACAATACAAATTGCCAACACTGAGAATAAAAAAGGGAACATTACCACAGACCCTTCAGAAAAGCATATAAAAGGACATGATAATCAACTTCACACCAATTACTTCGACAACTTATATGAAATGGACAAAACCCTTGAAGCACCCAAACTTCTGAAACTGAAAGGAAAAAAAAAAAAGATATAGCCCTATATAAAAATGCAAACTGTGATTTAAAATCTTGTCATAGAAAAAAATATGGCTCAGGTGGCTTCACTGATGAATTCTGCCAAACATATAAAGAAGAAATAACACAAATTGTACAAAAACTCTTTAATGAATAGAGAAAGAGGGAATACTTTGTCCATTACTTTTAACAGACGACTATATAACTCTAACATGAAAACCCAATGAGCGTATTATAAGACAAGCACATAATAAAATCTCCTAATAACACACGTAAAATTCCTCACGAAAAACTGGTAAAACTAACATACAAAAACAACGTATCATGATCAACTGCTATTTATTTCAAGAATATGAGGCTAGTTTTACACTTCAAAATTAATCAATGTAGTTCATCTCATTAACAGAAAAAAAGAAGAAAAACTGTATGATTATCACAATAGATTTTAGAAGGAAAAAAAAAAAAAACTTGCTGAAATTCAACAGTCACTCAAATTAAAACTTCCAGGAAGGATGAATTAGAAGAAAATTTCCTCAACCTGATAAAGGGCATCTATTAAAAAAACGGAGCCCTGGTGGTGCAATTAAGAGATCGGCGGCTAATCAAAAGGTCTGCAGTTGAAATCTACCAGCTGCTCCTTGGAAACCCTATGGGGCAGTTCTACTCTGTCCTATAGGGTTGTTATGAGTCGGAATTGACTCAACAGCAACAGGTTTGGTTTGGGTTTTGCTATTAAAAAAACCTTACAGCTAACCTCATACTTAATAGTGAAAAAGTCAGTGTTTTCCCTCTAAGATTACGAACAAAGTAAAAACTGGATAGATTTCCAAACTATCTGAACTTTGAAATCATTCCCCAAGCCACATGCAGATCCAATAGCAAAGGGTAGAAGTCTTATTAACTCAAGGTGTTTAAGCATAACCTAACCTCTGAGAAATCAATGGCTGACCATAAAGTTATACTGACCTGGGGACAAGAAAAAAAAAAAAAATATATATATATATGGATATGTGTGTGAATATATGCATATGTGTGTATGTACGTAGCTATATATGTATTATATATAAAGCTGAGCAGAGAAATCAGATGTTGCACACTGTGGGAGAAATGCACTTCGCAGAATTATTCCAGGCAAGCCACCACAATAAAAAAACAGAACCACCATCACCACCCTGGCCGGGGGTGGGGGGTGGGGGGTGGCAGAGGGGGCAGTTAGAATCCGGAGTTGCTGCAATATGTTATTTAAAATGAACAGTTTTCAACAAAAACAAATGAGATATGCAAAGAAACAGGAGCATGAGAGCTATATACAAGAATAAAAACAGTCAATAGAACTCATTCCTGAAGGGGCTCAGATATTGAACTTAACAGCTCAAGACTTCAAAGAAGCTATTATAAAGATGTCCAAAACACTGAAAGAAACTTTTAATTAAAGGAAAGCACATAATAATGATTCATCAAATAGAGACTATAATTAAAGAGATAGAAATTACATAAAATAAATGGAAATTATGTCAAATTATACAAAATAAATGAAAATTCTCAAGTTAAAAAGTACAGTGACAGAATGATGTCTGCAGGGTGGAAACAGCTCCAAGCGCCCATGCCCCACAGAAACACCAAAAAAACGAGCAGAATCTGGCAGAAGCAACTTTGCCAGAACTCTGGAAACCAAAGGTTTACAGTAACTAAGCAAATGCTGACTCAAGATGGTAGGAAAGTGATGTGCAGAGGGGTGGGGGCTTATGGGAACTCTACTTTCTGCACAATTTTTCTGTAAACATAAAACTGCTCTAGAAAAATAAAGTCTATTTAAAAAAAAAAAAAAAGCAGCAGTTAAGTTTTGGTTTTCTATGTGCCCGTGCCACACTCCCTTCCTGGCCTGGTGACAGTCTTAAAGCTGTGGCAGCCTGCATTCCTGAAAATGAGACTCAAGTCCCTGGCTCTGGAGGGAGAAGATAGGTCTCCTTCATAAATTCTTGTGTATGTCTGTTCTAACCTGTCTTGGAGCTACCTGAAGGACCAACACAAGGAGCTTGTCGCTGTCTGGCCTATGTCAACACTCAGTCTGGGCAGAAAAGGAGCACACATTGCCTAAAAACTTCGCTGCGTGTAGCTGCCAGTGGCAAAAGAGTGCAACTGGGGCATAAAGAGACCCCTAAGTTTTGGGAGGAGAAACGAGGAAGAGAGTGTCCGTGGGAAATAAGGGCATTCAAAACCCCTGGGGATACAGGGGATTTCAGAAAGCCACATGAACACTCACGGCAGGACCTATGCTCAGAAAGCACTTGAGAAGACCCTATGCTTCCACCTAGGACGAGCCTGGGTGAGTATTTAAAGAGTGCCCTGGCACACAGCCAATCTGAAAAGTAAGTGGGGACATTACAACTAACCCTACAGAAATAAAAAAAATCATAAGGGAATACTACAAATAACATAGAGGAAATGGACAAATTCCTCCAAACACATATACTCCCTACACTGATTCAAGAAGAAATCGTGGGTTTCAACAGACCTATAACAAGTAAAGAGATTGAATCAGTAATCAAAAACCTACCAACAAAGAAAAGTCCTGGACCAGATGGCTTCACTGGAAAATTCCACCAAACATATATAGAAGTGACTCCAATTCTACATAAACTCTTCCAAAAATTAAAAGAGGAGGGAACACTTCCTTATTCTGTGAGGCAAGCATTACCCTGACACCAGCGCCAGAAAAGACACCACAAGAAAAGAAAACTAGAGACCAAAATCCCTGGAGAATACTGATGCAAACATATTCAACAAAACACTAGCAAACTGAATTAAAAAAACATTCCAAGGATTATACATCATAATCAAGTGGGACTCATCCCAGTAATACAAGGTTGGTTCAACATCAGAAAACCAGTCAATGTAATACACCACATTAACAGAACAAAGGAAAAGACCCACATGATCATCTCAATTGATGCAGAAAAGGCATCTGAGAAAATCCAACACTCTTTCATGATACAAACATTCAACACGATAGGAATACAAGGGAAAGTCCTCAATGTAATAAAGGACATTAAAAAAAAAAAAATACAAACCCACAGCTAACATTATACTCAATGGAGAAAGACACGGCTTTCTTCT